TATATATATAAAATCACCAAAAATCCCTGTTGGTGAGTTTCTCTGTGTTTTGCTGAGGCCAACCAAATCTGGATTATTTTAAAAGAGCCAATAATAAATTTAAAGGAGACAAAAGGTGTAAAAATGAGTTTAAAGAGGAAAAGAAATGTCAGCGTGGGGGAGAGTGGGAGGAGGAGGGGGAGGGGCAAAAAGTGAAATAAAGAGAAGGGGGAGGAGAGGATAGTGGCTTTAGCAGTGCTGCATCATCAGTCTGCTGCCTCTACAGCAGAGAGGCAGCTCATCGTCTACCTCCTCATCACACACATACACTCACACACACACAGACACACACACAGACACACACACACACACAGACACACACACAGACACACACAGACACACACTGGAAGTCAACTAGCTGCCTCAGCCTCTCCAGGAGGAAACATCAGCCCTCGTCCTTCAGGAGTCCTGCTCTCACTCAGACACATGCCGGGAACTTAAAGCTTTGTTCTCTTCCCTCCTTCTCCTCTCTGGATGTTTCTGTGTTTGTTCTGGATCAGAGGGCGAACCTCAGGATTTGTGGCGGACAGAGGAGACCGGCGTCTATTGTTCATGTGGTGGGCATCAGCAGCAGCTGAGCCTGGCCCTCATGGATGGTGGATACGGTGCGGCCCGCTCCTTGGTGCTGAGGGGGAAAAGATGCTGATTTAGGAGGATTTCGGAGGCGCGGTTTGTTTTCTGCACAACAAACAGGACGAACGAGTTCAGGCTTTCAGAAAACGAGAGTTCTCCTGACGGGGACCATGTCTGCTCCAAGCTGAAACCCGCTGTGCTCCAAACATGAACTCGTCTTTCGACGCGAACCAAAGCGGCTCCTCCTTGTTCTGCCTGCTGGGAGCCGTGGACTTCTCCCGGAGCCTGAACACCTGCGTGCTGGAGGTGGCCGTCATCCTCTTCCTGGCCGCGCTCATCATCGCCGGGAACCTGGTGGTGATCCTCGTCTTCCACTGCGCGCCGCTGCTGCACCACCACACCACCAGCCGCTTCATCCAGACCATGGCGTACGCCGACCTGCTGGTGGGCGTCAGCTGCCTGGTGCCCTCGCTGTCCCTGCTGCGCCTGCTGCGCGGCCTGGACGAGGAGCTCACATGCAAGATGTTCGGCTACGTCATCTCCGTGCTGAAGAGCGTCTCCATGGCGTCGCTGGCGTGCATCAGCGTGGACCGCTACATCGCCGTCACCCGCCCGCTGTCGTACGGCACGCTGGTGACGCCGTGCCGGCTGAGGGCGTGCATCGTCCTCGTCTGGGTGTACTCGGCCCTCGTCTTCCTGCCGTCGTTCTTCAGCTGGGGGAAGCCGGGCTACCACGGGGACATCTTTCAGTGGTGCGCCGACTCGTGGAGCACCAACTCCAGGTTCAGCACCTTCATCGTGGTGGCGCTGTACGCGCCGGCGGCGTTCACCGTCTGCTACACCTACGGGAATATATTCTGGATCTGCCGCCAGCACGACAAGGAGATCACCCAGCGCCACGCTCGCTTCAGCGCCACGGGCGACCATGGCGAGCGCTGCGACGGCTGCACGGACCGACGCTACGCCATGGTGCTGTTCCGCATCACCAGCGTCTTCTACGTGCTCTGGATGCCCTACATCCTCTACTTCCTGCTGGAGAGCGCCCGGCTCTACCAGCACGCCACGGCGTCCTTCCTCACCACGTGGCTGGCCATCAGCAACAGCTTCTGCAACTGCCTCATCTACAGCCTGTCCAGCAGCGTCTTCCGGAAACGGCTCGGCAGCCTCTTCGACCCGCTGTTCCCGGCCTGCGCCGGCGCCAACAAGGCCCCGCCCCCTGCGGGCCTGCGACACAGTGCTCGGTGCCACGTGTGAGGCCCACATTAGGTTCAGTCGGTTTGAACTTCAGAGGAAGATGCAGGTTGAGCTGGTCCCTCAGTGCGAAACGTCTTCAGGACCCCTTGTGTGGCGCGCAGTGAGGTGCCCGCTCAAGTGCCTGCAGGAGTTTTAAAAGCTCCACGGTTCCTGCTGAGGCGTCTTTAGATGCTGACAAGAGAAGCGTCTCAGCAACTAGAAAAATAATTTAGTGTTTTAAAGAATATTTATGAACACTTTTGCACTTTTAAGATGTTCAAAATGAAAAAAAAATTACACCTGCGCCTGATGCAAAAAAGATTTTAAAAAATGGAAATAAAGGACTTTTATTTTGATAGAGTGTTTTTAGGGCAGAATTACACTGCAAAAACTGTCCATCTTACCAAGTTTTAAAATCTTATATCAGCCAAAAGGTCTGTTTGATCTTGTTTTGAGACTGATTTACTAAACAAGAACTGATTGTTTAAGAATAATAATCTTGTTTTCAGAATGTGTAAGATTATTTGTCTTGTTAGTCTGAAAATTTGACTCAAATTGAGTCAAATATTTCTGCCAATGGAGTAAGAAAATTTTACTTGGTAAGATTCTTGGAATAAGGAAAAAATTTTACCAAGTAAAACTTTCTTACTCCAAAGGCAGAATATTTGACTTAATTTGAGTCAAATTTTCAGACTAACAAGACAAATAATCTTACACATTCTGAAAACAAGATTATTATTCTTACACAATCAGTTCTTGTTTAGTAAATCAGTCTCAAAACAAGATCAAAAAGACTTTTTTGGCTGATATAAGGTTTAAAACTTGGTCAGGTGGACAGTTTTTGCAGTGTAAGTGTAGCAGAAACAATGAGAACCACTTGAAAAAGTTGATTTCTTTATTGAGCTGTGTGTTTAGAACCAGCCTGTTGAAGGTTTCTCAGAGGAAACAGAACTGTTTGTTGGTGCTTGTGTTACGTATTTTAAAGGTTTTAGCAGCAGATGGGACAGCAGCAGACCTGGGGCATTTCTCTGTCAGCAGATTTTCTGCTTGTGTTCTCGTTAAGGAGAGAGAAAAATATTTATTAGGAGAGGTTCGGTTATCAGAAGTGCTTTGTTAAAATGATCAGGACAGAATTAGTCTTTGCTGAGATCGGAGGGATTTTGTGTGATTGTTAAACTCATGACATTTTTATGGCTTATTTCTGCTCTGATTAGTTTGAAGCAGAAAGAACAACTCAATCTTCACAGTTAAAGGTTTAAAAATAAATGTATTGATTCGCAGGCAGGAGCTCTGACATTATACACTTGAGTCTGAACCAGTTTTTGAATATTTAAAGAGCTGGACGACAGAAAATGTGTTTTTATGTGATGAAAAAAATCTTTTAAGGTCTGGTCTTGCTCCTGATTTTGATGTATTTCCAAAAATAAACTGTATGAAAGGATAAAACTGCAAAAACTAACAACATTTTCTTGTAAACATTCATTGTTTGAGGCTTTTTAAAGCTGTGCATTGAGATTTTGAAAGTAAAATGCAACAAAATGCAATAAATTTTGCTTTAATACAAGCATTTTAAAATTAAAATAACATGCAAAAATTGTAAAATTTGACAACGACAAATAAAATTTGAGTCACGTTTTATGCTGCAAATCAAAAAACTTCACATTCACCCATCTTTCTGGGAGGTTTTTCTGATCGTTGCTTAAAAAAGGTCAAAAACTAACATTTTCTGAGTAAAACATTTTCAACTTTTGTATTTGAAGTTTTTTAGAAGTTGTGTTTTTTTTAAACTGGACCTAATGACATTGTGCACAGAGATTTTCAAAGTAAAATGCAGCAAAATGCAATACATTTAGCTTTAAAATGTGCATTTCTAAATTAAAATGATGCAAAAATCGTAAAAAGTGTGAAAATTGAAAAACAAAACCACATTTTATGCAGTGAATCAAAAAGCTTCAAATTCATCCTTTCTTGGAGGTTTCAATAAAAATCTTTGTATATTTTTGTGATTTTTCTTTAAAGGGCCAACATTATGTGTTACTCAGGCATATATTTAAACACTATACCATGATAAAGTATCTATGTCACCTTTAGCTGCTATTAAAATGCTGTTTTTATGTTCAAATAGAAAATAAACTTATCTTCTCATCACTTCCTCTTCTAAACACCTTGAAATTGGCCTCTGTCTCTTTAAGAACCTCCTTCTGCTTCTGTCTGACAACAATCTGAGTGTTTCCGTCACAAAAATATTTTTTTTCTGAATGTTGTTTAAAATGGTAAAAACAAATTCTAAAATCCAACAAAAGTCAATTTTCTGAACTCTATTAAATGTTTTATTTTGAACGAGTTTACTCCTGTAGTTTTCCAGCTGTGCAGTTTTAAAATGCAGGTCTGCACTCAATGTAAACACAACACTTTTTATCTGCCTAATTTACTCAACAAATCTGAGCATAAAATGTTTCAATAAATTATAATTAAATGACTTTTTTCCAAATGACTCCTTCATGGACGTCTCTGTTATTGATGTATTTTCACTGCAGGATTTTTTTTAACTCGTCTTTGAGTCGCTTTAAACAACCGCCAGCTGTGGTATTATTGCTCAAAAGAAGTATTTTTTGTGTTTATTACTGCATTAAAACAGAAAAATGCACGATAAAGCCCAGATAGAAAATCACCCCGCTGTAATTAGGATAAAACGGAGGAAATAATTGCTTGAAAAACGTGATAAACTTCTGTTTTTGTTAACAAGAAATGGTCAATAATATAAAACAACTCAAACCGAACAGCTGAATTTATTCTACATTTGAGTTTTTTCTAAATTATTCTGTAATAGACTGCAAACTTTATTATTATAAAAATGTTGCTTTGCCAAAAAATATAAACATTTCTCACTTTTTATGAGTTTTAATTCAATGTTTGAGTGCTACGTGTAAAAATAACATTAAACACTTCATGAGATATTTTGCTAACAGACACAAAACAGGATTATATATCTGGCATCTTTAGTGTCTAACCTGGAAAAAAAACTTTAAAAACTTTGATGAAATGTTTGATAATTTTAATGCTAATTTAGCAGTCTCTAAACTGAACTGTTAACCTGTTTTGTGCAAATTGAAAATCTACATATTTATAATGATGCATGTATTTTTCATCTCGCTGACTGAAAGGTCAAAGGTTGCACAGAGATCAGGTTTCTGCACGGCGTCTTTAAAAACACCAGAAGCTTTTCTACAAACTGAACTACATTCTTTTATCTAGAATAAATTATTTACACTGTAAATTTGTATAAACTAACTTCTTTAGACAGAATCATTTGGAAAGAGCTGAAAAGCTTTTAGTAAAAATTTGAATCCATGTTTGTGTCCCTGCTGTTCCTTCTCTTTGTATCCAAACTGCTGCATAAAACATGTGATTTTTATTGTTTCTAAAGAAGAACAAACAGCTCTAATGATGAACTCAGAAAGTCTTGTTTCTGCTGTGGAGATAAAAATCATCCAAATCTGCAGATTATGACGACACAATGAAGATTTCCTGCTGCATCATCACAGATCCACGTAAAGATGCTGATCTGTGCAGTTTTTTTATTTTCCAGCTGAAGAAGTCAGCTCAACAATAAAACCCCTAACGAAGGGCTTTAATTGTTTGATATTCAGCATCGTGACGTGAATTTATGAAACATTTCCTGTAAAGAAAGTTACTGAATAAAATTGAATGGTTTTTTTTTTTGGTGTTTTGGGTTTTTTTGCTGGAAACTCATCAGAGTGAGATTTTTTTAATATTTAAAATTCAGATTGTTTTTAGAATAACTTGTTATACGTCTGTTTGTCTGTTTGTGACCTAATCTTATTGTTTGTAACTAAACTTGGTGCAAAAAGTAAGGAAATTTGTGTTTGGAAGACTATTTTTTTGTAGCAATGCCTTTTGGAAATAAAGCCTAAGCTGTTGAAAACAGGGGCGGAGCCAAAGAGGTGGCCAGGGTGTCACCTGATAGACAACCCCCCCCCCCAAAATAAATGAGAATTTATTTGCATTTAGATTCTTCTCTGATACTACTGTACTACATTTTAGCTGTGTATAGTTAAATATTACTGAATTGTAGCCCTTTGTGTAATTAGCATTAGTGGCTAGCTTGATTTAGCACTCAGCATGTGATCATTCAAATTTCCTCTCAATAAATCTTAAAATGGCTGAATTTTAGCTTTTTAAAGTTAGCTGTGGTGGCCATCTTGATTTTTTATTACTGTTTAGAATCAGGTAAAGATTGTTTTTACTTCAGCTATGTATGTCTAAAAATGGCTGAATAATAAGATGTGACTAGCATTTAGCATGTTTTTTTAACCACTCTTAGTTAATATCACACTCACCTTCAGCTTGGCATTTCTTAAAACAGCCAAATTAAAGCCATTTGAAAGTAGCTGTGGCGGCCATCTTGGATTTTTTAATCCATTGTGCAAAAAAAAAAAAAAAACCCACCTTGGCCACCCCTTGCACAAAAGTTTAGCTCCGCCCCTGGTTGAAAAGCCTGTTAACATTTCTTTTCACATGGTGCCACATTTATAAGGAACATGCATTTGTGGGATGAGCATTTGAGCTCAGTATGTGGGTTTTGCGCATTAAAAATGTGTCCATTTTTTCTGTCAAAACAACTTATTTTGCTGTTGCTATTGACTCTTAATTTGAGCTTTTAGTGCCCCCAGGTGCTGTCAGTTAAATGATTTATTAAAGCATTGTTACAAAAAAGAACCTACCAAAACACTAATTTCCTTACTTTTTGTGCTAAATATATATTCTAAAGGCAAATGGTAGTTCTGAACTTACTTTTTAAGGAGAAAGTAAAGCAGCAGTAGTAGTAGCTTCTCCTGGACAGCAGACCACGCCCTCAATTCTGTTGGTAGGCGGAGTCTCCTGGTCACATTTAGCTTAGCAGCTAACTTTCTGTAGCCGTACTGTAACAGGAGGAGCTGCTGCAGTCAGGCAAACTGCGTGTGACCAAAGCAGCTCCCACGAGTCAGGTCAACAACAACCTTAATGACTGTCTGATGGGAGGTGAGCTGTTTAATCTGCAGGTGAATCTAGCTGACACAGCAGAACCTCTCTGTTCAGAACATGAAGTGTTTCAGCACCTGATCTGGTTTGTCTGAGTCACACAAAAAAAATCAAAAATAAAAAATCTCAGACTTCTGACTCTGTGACTTTATTTCTGAATTCTTAGTAAAAAAAAAAAAATCCCTCGGAGGGCATTCCACTCCCTCGTTCCACGTCCAGCTTGTTCTGGGTCACATGGGAATCCCAGGA